AGGTATATTTGTGGAATAATAGGCCCCAATACTCTGTCTTTCCCTTCCCCTCCTCTCTGACAGTGGCAAGGGTGAGGCACTTGACCACCTGCTGTTTTTGTTACTGTCCCCAAAGTAATAGAAGCCACAGATATGTCCTGTGTGCTGGCCCATGGAATAAGAACAGCAGAATGAAAAAAGCAAAGCATTGCAGAAAAAGGAACATCACATTCCTACCAAAAAAAAAAAAAAAAAAACAGATAAAGATAAATATTAGGAAGAAAACTCAAAAGAAATGTGAAAGGGCTTTTTACAAAGAGAATTTCACAAGTGACAAAAGGTCTAAATGGCTGTACCTAGATGGGAAAATTCTAAGGATACCAATTCTAACCAATTTAATCCATAAAGTTAATGCAATTGCAATCAAAACTAAATGGTAGATTACACAATAAATGCCACAAGTATAACTAAATACACATTTACAGAAAGTTAAGATAGAAATCTATCTCAAATCACACTTACAAACAGACAACTAGACACATACACACACATACAATACAAAGGAGCTAACTCTAGAAAGGATATTACCTTTATGTTCTTTCCCAGGAAATAGGGAAATGTTTTTCTTATAAAATTAGGAAAGGAAAACAGGTCTTGCCCAAAAAAAAAAAAGAAAGAAAGAAAAGAAAAGAAAGATGAAGGATTAAAAGAAAGACAAGGCTAGACCCCTGTTGCTCAATGGTTAGGGCACCAGCCGCATACACCCAGGCTGGCGGGTTTGAAGCTGGCCTGGGCCTACTAAAAAACAATAACAACTACAACAACAATAAAAAAAATAGATAGGCCTTGTGGCGGCCACCTGTAGTCCCAGCTACTTGGGAGGCTGAGGCAAGAGAATTGCTTAAAATCAAGAGTTTGAAGTTGCTGTGAGTTGTGACACCATGGCACTCTACCGAGGGTGACATAGTGACACTCTGTCTCAAAAAGAAAATAAAAAGAGAGAAAACTTATTTCCAGAGTGATGAAATAAAGTACACATACAAAAACAAATCAAAACAAGAGATGAGGAAGTGATATGCAAGATATAGGCTCAACATATCACAATAATCTTGTTTCAACTGCGACTAAATGTTACCATATGGGACAGCAGAGCAACTACATTGATAGAAAGAAACTCGCTTTGTTTCACACAGGCATAGTAACTTATAAAAGGAAGAGACCACTCCAGTTGCACAAGCTTCAAAGTCAGCAGGGTGAGGGCCCCTAAGTCCCCTGTGTGTCACCAGATGTCCTGAGAAGATTCCTAGGACAAAGGCCTTCTCAGAAGTGACAAGACAGCCTTCCCAACTGACACACACAGCACCCGCCTTAGCACACCCAGTGAACTGAGGATCCCCAAGTCAGTTAGGGGGGCTTGGAGGAATGGGGGTGCCTGAGGAGGGACTTCAACACCAAGAAGCTACAGAGGGGGTGATCGGCTG